TCTTCCGATAAAGAGTGTGTGTGCACAGACAAAAAGGCGGGCGGGGAGGAAAGAAAGCACCCGTCAGGGTCTTGTCACACCTCAACATCCCATCCCCAACCCTCCAGCTCCTCAGGCCTGGAAGCCCACACACGTGCCCAGAGCGTCTCCTGGCTGACCCAGGGATCCAGGGTTGGTCATGTGACTTCCTGCAGCCCAGTAGGACCACAGACTGCCACCTGAGCCGGGACTGAAATCCGGGTAATCTAACTTCAACTGTTACCCTTATGTACCTTTAATGAGCAATTAAATGCCTACTAAGCGAAAAGAAAGGAAGCTCGGTCCATTAAATTCTAAGAATTGCACATTTCTTTTCCAAGAGACCTTTCCCAGGTTTGAACCTGGATCAGTTTCACAGAAACAGACAACGAATTCCACGCACAGAGCGGGGACAGATACCAAAGCTCTCTCCGTAGGCCGGGACGAAATGCACAGAGAAGGAAGAGTTGCCACTTACTTGCGCGGAGGACAGAAGGCGTGACCTCGATCTCACTCGTGGCTTGGTACGGCTGAAAGGCGGACGCGCTGTTGGCTCCCAGCTCACTGCCGAACAGCTCCGGGCTTTGGGTGCCCGTGGAGCTGGCACTGGTGCCGTCGCCCCCATGGTGCGGATCTTGCTCATCAAACACTGCTACCAGCTGGAAACCAAAGGTGAGTCTGCGTTAAACAGGCTTCGAAATCACTACGGAAAATGTACGCCACTCTGCCATCAACTCACAGTCCGGAAATACACACATGACGTTAAGTTTTAGGAAGCAAAACCTCCCAGAAATCGAGTTTCTTTCCACTTAAATGCTTTAACCTTTTCCAAGTTGTATTTCATATCCAAAATTCTATGGGTAAAAAAAATATTTTTTATGTCACAGAATACTCAAACAAGGATAGATACAAATTGTTTTTTAAAAAATAGTTACATTGTTAAGTGTGAAAGAAAATGCAAACGTGTGTGTACACACATGTATATATGTATGTACGTGTATGCATACACTGAAATACCTTTCATATAGGATAAGAAGGATATTAAAAACTATGCTCATTAGGGATCAGCAGATGGCATAATGGTTATGTTGCTGGACTCCAACATAGTCTGATGCTATTTGAGGCCTGGACCGAGTGGCTTAAAACTCACACTGGGCTCCTGTGCGTGCGTGCCCAAAATCCCAGGAGGAGAATGGAGGAGAAGGGATTGTGGCACGGCCATCTCCCAGGCGGATGATTTCTCACTTTCTGTCTCTGTTTCTGTCTCTCCAGCGACTGCAAGCATCCTATAGCAAAAATCTCCCTCTAGAGAAAAAAAATAAACAAAACTATATTCATTTGTGCACAAGGAAAATAGGAAGGATAAAAGAGAAATTCTAGAAGTGGCTTAGTTAAGGGTGATAGGTTGAAAGAGAGAGGGGATGGGAACGCACAGTGGCCACATGGGAAAACACTTTTCTGAGTATATTTTCCTGTGGAGCTCTGGCTATTTGACCCAAAGAAGGATTCCATGACCTCAAAGAGAAGCAAACACTTGAAATCAAATCATGGTAAGACAAGATGGGGAGCTCCAGGAGGATCCGAAATGGCACCCAAACAAAAAGCCTAACCACACCAACACGAGTAAGAACGCCAGAGAAGGCTGTGGGGAAGAGAGCTGGCCTAAGTCACTGTGGAAAACTGTATTTCCACTGCTAATGGAAAGGACAAGGAAAAACTGTCACACAAATACTACTGGGTCATCAGAAAAGTCAGGACTTGTTTTTATTTTTTTTCTTTAGAGAGATTTTTTTTTGCTATAGGGTACGTGTGCTCACTGGAGAGACAGAGACAGTGAGACAGAAAGTGAGAAAGTACCCCCTGGGGAGGGGCGGTGGGCACACCCCAATACCTTCTTGTCCATTCTCCTCTCAGGATTTTGGGCACACACACATATGGTGTGAGTTTTGAGCAGCCTGCCCTGGGACTCCGGCCTTCACTGACTATGTGGGAGGAGTGACCATTGCGCCCCCTGCTGGTCCCTGTCGATGTTTTTCTATGTTAGGTAGACAGGCTGATAGGAACAGGCAAACCCTGGTGCACATGTGAACATGTGAATGTCCGTGTTCTGGCTCTACCTGCTGAGATGCTCTAAAAGCAATGACGCCCAGCACCCGTGAGCACACCTAGCACTCGGACCTCGGTGTCTAATACCACCCTCTAGGAAACACAGCAGAGTTCCGTGGAAATGGCTGCTGTTAGGGCTCAGGTCAAGGGAACACACGTGAGCCTGGCATGCCTTGAGATGCTAGAAAGAGGGGAGCTTTCAAAAGTGGTGGAGGCACATAAAGGGGAAATCCATGCCAGCCTGAAGGGGCTCCCAGACCCAGAGCTGAGAGCAGTGAGAGTGAACGAGGTACCCAGGAGTCCACCACGATGGGGGTAAATGGTGAAGGGGGCTCAGCCTTCCCTGCTGTAGCATCCCAAGGGATCAAGACAGAAGGAGGGATGGAATGAATGACCCTGGGGCAATGTCTACAGGAACAATGCTGCGGGGAAACTCTACCGACAGATGGATGCTAAAGCAGGTGAGAACGTGTTAACCAACAGGGTGGTCACCTGTTTCAAAACAGCTCCCCTTAAGATACATTTTAATTGGAAAAGGAAGAGCATCTTTTCAGTGAAGAAACGTGGCAGCCATCACTTCACCAAGGATGCAGAGCCAGAGGAAAACATTAGTGAAAAGGAGGCAAAATTGAATGATCTCTGAAGATGTTGAAAGTACTGACCCAATGCTAGACACCTACTTTTGATGATCACACTAGGATTGGGTAGGGAGTCAATTAGGGATAGAGGAGGGGTATATGGAAACATTATCATTCCTTTCCCAGCTTCTCTGAAGTATAAACTTATTTGAAGTTAAAATTTTTTAATTTTACAATACAATATTACAAAACACCATACAAATAAAAATATTTTTAACTATATAACTAATATAGTTCTTTTAATTTGTTTTAATTTAACTTTATTTATTTGCTTATTTTAGACTAAAAGAGTAAGAGAGAGAGAGAGTGAGCACGAGAAAGCAAGCTAACAGATCCGGGACTCAAACCACGGTCAGCCATGTGGGAGTCAAGCCCCCTTAACCACCACGCCACCTGCCGGCCCCACTAATACAGTTCTTAAAACACTAACACGCTTATTGGAAACCCTGAAGAATACCGGAGTACCAAGGACCCACCATGGCGATCACCTCAGTCACACACCCTGCGATCCCCAAACCACGGGCTAGAAAACGAACCACCTCTGCCTCTAACCGAAGCTCTGCCATGACACTACCGTAAAAGGCAGTAAGATCAAGTCATGGGAAACGAGCAGTATTTTTTTATAATTACAAATTCATTCACGGGCAGTTCTTGTCATTGTAAACAAATGCTAGTTCCGTATCACCCACGATTCATGATCAACAAAGAAAGCCATCAGAAGGGCACAGAGACAGGGAGACAAACGGGAAGCTCAGAGCTCTGCTGGGGCACGATACATAATTAGCTGATTAAATAAGGAGCACAAGGAATCAAAGTGGGATGCACAGCTGGGACACACGACCTTGTAATGAGCAACGTAAGTGGGGAAAAATGCTTAACAGCTACCACACAGAGAGGCGCTTGTACGTATGCGCCGACGTTTCCATAGGCAGCAGTGTGATCAGCCTGTCTGCCGTCCACTGCGGAGCGCCGGCTACTCCTCGGCCACTGCAGCAAGAAAGTGACCACAGGCCTTTCCTAAACAAATGAGGGAAACCAACGCTCTTACTAAATGTGTGTGGCGGAAAGTGATGGTCAATGTTGAGGATGATATATTTCTTTATATCCCTGATTCTTATATACTTAATGGACCTTTTCTTTTAAGAGAGAGATTTTTGCTATAGGGTGTGTGCACTCACCAGAGAGATTGACAGACAGACAGAAAATGAGAAATTGCCCCCCAGAGGAGATGGCCATGCCACAATCTCTTCTCCTCCATTCTTCTCCTGGGATTTTGGGTACACACACACACACACACACACGTCCACCATGAATTTCAAGCCGCCAGGTCCGGGACTCGAACCACAGTCAGTCATATGGGAGTCCAGTAACATAACCATCTGCTAGACCCCTTCATGCATCTTTTGAAAAACCATTCTATATGCTTCAAAGAAGTGTAACAATTAAATGGAAATAAAAAACCACAATTAAAAAATTAATGAGCAAGCCAGCAGATAGTGTGATGGTTAAGGTGGTAGTTCCCAGAGATCTGACTCTATTGGTTCAAGTCCCGGACCCGGCAGCTTGAAAAACACACTGGGCACATGTGCGTGCATGCCTAAACTCTGGAGAGGAGAATGAGGGGGAAGGGACTGTGGTGTGGCCATCCCCCTCTGGAGGATGATTTCTCACTTTCCTTCTCTGTGCCTCTTGCTGGTGAGCAAATATATCCTATAGTAAAAACTTTAAAAATTTTAAAAATAAATAAAAATAAATGAATAGGATTATGTTTAAATTAAACTCTGCCTCCCAAAGAGGCGAAGGACCAAATTTAGGCCACAGGCCGTACAGCTGATAGCCCACAGTAGACGGCCCATCTTCCTACTTACATTCAATTTTTAATTTTAAATTCGGGAAAGCAGTACCTTTGTAGCCCTGTTATCCTCAAAACATCCATTTCATGCTCCTCATCAGGATCTTAGATTTCTACATTTGACTTTAATATCTTCATACTTTCACAAGGTATATGACTTACTATGCATTTTCAAAATATTAAGTTTTGACATTTTGGTGCTTAATTGGAAGCAAATGAAATTCAAGTTTTGTTATTAACTTTTTACAATGTTCCCACAAAAATGAGGTTCCTTCTGCAAACTGAAAATGAAAATTAAAAATGACAAAGACTGAGCCTTTAAATGCCACATATGATGGGGGAGCTTCTACATGTACATTAGTTTAAGTCATTATTCCCAGCATTTTTAGAAAACACAACTATTATGAAATCTGGACTGAGTCGTGAACAAATGCTGTTAAAATTTCCATGGCAGAATCGCAGTTGGTGAGCTGCAATATGCCAGTAACATACAACTCCACAACACTCTTTTAAACCAAAATTTAAGTGCCAGGTGCAGATACGAAGTAGTTCTGTGTTAAATTAGGAAGGATGTATAATTTTAGAAAACCTACTCTACAAATACATATAGTAACAGCGAAAGAAAACGGGACCTTCACAAAAACAGCACATATTAAAAAATCTCGATCATGCCCTTCAAAACGTAAAGGCAATGTCTGCTTTCTTGGTGAAACGTGACTCGAAATCCTATTTTAACAGATGGAACCTTCACTGCTGTCCATGAAGTAGATAGGTTATTTCTGAAAGTTCATTTTCACATTTGATAGCTATTAGTCTCTCTTCTGTTCCATTCATGAGTCAAGCTCCATGAGAAAAGACAGGTCAAATTTGGATAATATCTAGGAGAACCCAAGTATAAATAAACTCTAGACACTGCCATGCATCTCCCACTGCCCAGGACAAGTCGTTTTTAACTCTGAAACATCAGAACCCTCCCACAGAAAACCTGTTACTGAAATTTCACACAGAAGTTCTACGAACACTTGGCTCTGGGCGGCCCCTTTCAGGGTAACACTTGGGAGCT